GCGATTAGCATTTTTCAACGATGCTACTTACAATCTTTGTGAGTAGGCTTTGAGACTATCAGACTTCACAACTATTCGAACCATCAAGGAACGTGACACGATGCTCGAAGGTGTTGTCGAGGCCAGTCGAACGAAAGGAGCCTACTTGGACACGAGCAAATGACAATCAACAGTTCGCGACTTCCGCCAGCCTCGGGGCCAGCGCGACTGTGCGTCATGCTCGGGACTCAGCCGGCCAGCCAGTCAGCACGAGTCCGAGTCCCCACGCGCCAACGACCAATCAGAGCGGCCGGAGTGGACCAAGATGACGCTGGAGTGTCGTCGGGCGAGCGGGGCAGGCGATAAATCGGCCGAGAAAGGGGACCGCTGCCTCATGCCCAGAGCCCCGATTGTGGGCAATTATTTATTGCCGAGACAGTCTGAAATGAGGGCAGATGGGCTCGGCCAACGAGTCACATTCCGGCCCGACGACTGCACTTGCATTACTGGCCGCGTTGGACGCAAATTGGTACGTACACGCAAATGCAGAATCGAGTTGGCCGAAGACGAGTCCGATTGTTGCGCTGACAGGCCGAGGTCGCCGGAGCCGGTGTGAGACAGAGCCTCGGAGACACTCGGGCCAAAGAGACGAGTTGCTTTCTGTGCAATGGTTGATAAGGATCGTGAGAAGGAATACGTCCGTCTCGCATGTGATGAGATATATTTAATAGTTACACTGACATTAAGTGTTCGTGCTGGGAAAACCGGCTGGTGTGGCATCGATAGGGGCGATTCGAGCGATCACCTTCTCGTGTGTCTGTGTGTGTGTGTGTGCACATGGATATGCACAAGCGGTGAGTGGAGGTTGACGACCGGAGAGCGGATGAACCGACTGCTGTAGCCTCAACGGAGGCTACAGGTTGTCGGACGTGAACCCAACGCATGTATCTAAAAGACTCGAAGGTATTTGTGGAATGATGTTGCAAGTTCTTTTTCATGTTGATCCAAGAGTTTGTGTGCTAATTTAGCTGTTTGTGCTGGTAGGTGCCTTGCCTCTAAAACGCTATCCTAGTCCAGGATGGATAGCTCTAATTCAACATCTACCGATTGTCTGGCTACCTACTCATTATCAATGCAAGTAGCATGGTTAAAATCCTTATGAAAAAGCTATTATATTCCAAAATAAATACGTTTTTCAAGCGTAATAGCAAATAATATTTGGCATTATTGATACAACCGTTAATTAAAAGGGTGATTCGGCAGAATCATCCCCGAACAAGACTTTTTTTGCCATTCGCTGAACTCAAGACAATTCAACTTCGGTTTTTTATGAAAGTAATTGGCGAATTCCATGCCGCCACATGTTCAAAGAAAGCAGAGGTCCTTTGAGGCGAAATCCTTAATGGAGGCCTTGAGACTCGGTAGTCATTCGTTGAACACGGCTACTCCTGGGCCTCAGAATCATGAAAGTTTAGTTATTCTCTTCCGCAATCGAGCCTGTTTGAATTGGCTCATTTGCCATATGATTAAAATCCTTATGAAAAAGCTATTATATTCCAAAATAAATACGTTTTTCAAGCGTAATAGCAAATAATAGTTGGCATTATTGATACAATCGTTAATTAAAAGGGTGATTCGGCAGAGATCTTGACTAACTTGAAAGCAATATGCATTCTTCTCGTGACCCAACGACGCGTTGAGGCGTGGTCTACACTCCAGTCTTGTCCGAAGGAGGCAAAAACTTTTTAGAACAAGTTTTATAGTGAAATTCAACCGAATGCTGAGATTTACTCATTTCTTTAT